TTTTCCGTGGAAATGCGTTCTTATCGAGATAATAGAGGGGTCCTACATTTTTAGAATACCCTGTATATCTCGAGAACGGTTTATTTGCCAGTTCTGAAAATTGGCTCATTCGATTTCTCGTCCCTCAATTACTATAAATCCGAAGTTTGGTTGTTCTGGGGGGGGGCCTTTCGGAAGTATACCCAAATTGAGGTATAGTTATGTGCAATAAGGATATATCAAAATTCAAATGTCAAGGTTTAAAACATTAAATTTCAAAATTTGTAACTTTTAAGTTTCAGAATATAAAGTTTTAAAAACTACTGATAATAAAATAAATATTAAACAAAATTTTTCCTAATAAACGTCTACACACGATTAATATTTTTCCATTGAAATACCATTTTTCCTAGGGAAGCCTACTATGCTCGGTACTGTACAATGCTCATTCATACAAATTTTGATTAACTTGCAACAGTACATATAAAAATTTTGACTAAATAGAGTTACCAACTTTTAGTTTAACTTTCGGAAGGCGGACTATGGAGAAAACCACAATTTTAATTTAATTCTGTATTTTATATTATTTTCATTTTCTAAATTTTACACATGTTCCTTTAAAAATAATTACCTCGGTATATGAAATCCCTTCGTTTAAAAATTATGTATTTAATTTTAGATTAGTATCTTTGTATACGTTTTTAAGTTTGGGTCACGACTGACCCAGGCTCCGCTGTTCAAAAGTTAGTAAATTGTCATGATTTGTACACAAATTCAGAAAGTAAAACGTATTTTTTATTATAAAAAAATTATTACAACTGCAACACGACGGAAATCACTTTTTAATACTTTATAGAATAATCTTCATTATTGTATACTAGAAAACCTAGAGTAAGCAGGCTAAACTCCAGGTGAATGTCGAAGGACCGTACAAAAGCAAGTGAGAACACACCTAAAACGGTTTTGAGATTATTTCAAAATCTAGCCATAGGTATCAAGAATTTTTGCACAACTTCAAAACGTGTTCTTTCGAATGATACCAATGATGACTGCATGGTAACGTATAGTTCTGCGCAAATCTCTGCACAAAAAAGGTAACAACGCAAAACGGAGTCAACTGGGAAAGTGAAGCCCCAGGCTCTACGGGCCTTCGGCAATAACTTGTAGTTGTGGTGATATTGATTGAACTTTATTAAAAAACTCGGCTGAATATTTATTCGCGTAGTCTCTAGTACTATTTTTATTTGTTTGATTTGTATTTAATATTTCATACTTTCGTATTTGTCTTCGCAGTTCGGAATAAAGGGTGTAGCAGGATAAGATGGTCAAAAGTGCCCTTGAGCCGAATTTGCTTCGCAATGCACCATTCGATAGCATATCCCAAAAAACCATGGTACACCAAGTTTCAACCCTGTACCTCAACCGGGAGGGTAGTTACAGGGTAAGAAAGAAAAAGTAGTTTTTGCCATATTTCTCCTATTTAACATTATACAAAAAATCTGTAAACATTCTAAAATATTCTAGACATGTTTCTTTATGATTGTGAATTTTTTCCGACTTTTCGGTTACAAATCCTAGGCGTGAAAACTCAAAAACGCAAGAAAAAGTCGAAAAATGGAGATTTCGGGTAGAAACTTTCGAGACACTAGATTTTTACTTTCACAATAGTTAGATATTAGCATGATTGGTGTCCTGAATTTTTTTCAGATTTTTCATTCTGGTGCGTCAAACCGAAAAAAATCAAAAACCGATATTTTCGATATATTTCATGCGATATTATGAGAAATACTTCCAATTTTTACATTTCCTTTACACACTTAGTGCATTATGTGATTTCTAACATTTCTGCACTGGATGGAGCAAGATCTGAATAGAGGAAGTTAAGTTATTATAAATAATTGAAAAAGTATACGCACCTTGTATTCAGAAATATTGAAGAGTTTTTCAACAGCGGCGATAGCCGAACGGTTAAAGCCGGGTATCCACCGGCATCAAACGCCCGTATCGTATCACCGTTCCGAACCCTTTTGAATAGGCAGACGTTGCCTCGTTGCATGCCACGGCGTGCTACGGCTCGGCCAATAGTTCTTCGTTTCTTGAAAGAAACACCTATAGGCGAGAAGTTTCGATTTGCTGTATGCTGTTTCTTTATTGTAGGAGTCCGTCGCTTACAATTAGTACTGAACAACTTTTATTACATCTGCAAGTTAAAAGAGGAACTTTGGGAATCGGTTTATAACTTACAGAAATAAAATTAATACTGTACAACTTTTATTACATCTGCAAGTTAAAAGAGGAGTTTTGGGAATCGGTTTATAACTTAGAGAAATAAAATAGGGGAAAAATATGTTATTATAGCAGGGGTTCGAATTCACTTAATCCGTTTATTACTCGAAGAGGTCATCGTTTATTACCCTTTTGCTTTCATCGGACTGGTACTACCTGTGTACCATGCAAGTTCGGTACCTCCACACGGACTAGGAGGTACCTTCGCGTTTGCAAAACGCAACCAATCAGAAAAATTACAAATTTACCCCCGACGACGAATTTCAACCAATAGAGGAAGTGGAAGTTTCTACACCGAAACCCCCACCACGATTAGGAAGTTATATATTTCTCATCAATACGGAAAAAGATCAAAGTTGTTTCGACAACAGCAGTAGAAGCATTTCCTAGTTTCAACAGATTCATTCGATTTTACTATATTACGTCGCGAGCGAGATACGGCGCGCGACGTACAAAAAAAAAGAAAAAAAAGAAAATTAATAGGAGAATTAATGATGGTTGATACGCGGTTGAGAACGGTATTAGCGCTGCCACCAGTCCTGATCGCTCGTGACGATGTTGGATCACTCACGAATAGAACAATAAAAGAGTTGTTAAATAAATTAATAGATTAATTGAGAGATTATTCGGGTTCGTCAATGCTCTAGTCCCATACTGGCCCCTCGTGTGAATTTGTACGAAGATGGTAGGCGTGAAAATGAAGGAAAAGAAAGTGTTTCGAAACGTAAATGAATTAAAACAGGTTAGGTGTAATAAAAATATAATTTCAGAAAAATAATCGTGACATTAAAGGTGGTTGGTTAACAGAAAGTACGAGCTGTTTGAAATATAAGAGAAAATAAATATATTATAAAGAAAAGTTTAAATTATATGAAAATGAAGCTATTGATTACTGGTTAATTAAAGTTTGATTGATTGATTCGATGATTCGAGCGACGATGTTCTGTGAAGAATTAAGCGCGAAAAGAAAGAAAGAACGGTCCCAGAGGGTTAATTACCAGAGCCACGGTTTCGTGGGGCCGTCTTCTTTGCGTGTGGATCGGAATTTATTTAATAACGTTAATTTTCGATACCTTGAGTCTCTATACTGAACGGAACGATCTAGAGGGATACTTTCCAGAATACACGGTTTCGTAGATCGCCCGTTTTGCCTCACCACATCCAGATTCGTCGTATTGGATAAAAATGGAATGGACAACTTACCAAGATCGATGTAAAATAATATATGATAAGACTTTGATTTGCATCGTTAGTCGCTGGTGTCGTCTAGAAATCTGGAAGTCAAAGAAGAGGTGATAAAAATGCGACTTGCACTACGCGTTCGCGATCGGCCTTTTATTTCGGTGTTACGGGACGATTGATTACAAAAACGAACACGAAAGTATTTCAAAATCGACGCGACGCGGAAAAAGAAAGAAAAATAATTAATATACGAACGATATAAAAACGAAAGAGAAAAGATAGAAATTGAAAAGTGTGAAATGAATTTAACGTATCCGTATGAGTCCTTGTCACAAAACCGCGAACCGAAACACTCTCGACACTCTGCCTTGATGAGGACTTGCCGAGCAATCTAATTATGCGATTTTACTAACAACTCTATCTCTACGCGAACACGGGCTCCCCGTCACGCACCTTGCGATTTTTCGACGAAGAGTGATTTGCCTCCGTCAAGCGATCGTGTCTCAGGATTCGACCCGCGATCATGGGCCCAAAGTGGGGACATCATTTGGCAAATCAGGGTACGTGTCGGAGGGGAAATCCCGCGCGTATTGGGCTAGTTGGCCGCTCTTCCTAGTTCTTTCATCCCTTCTTGACTTTTCTTTCTACCTTCGTCTAAGGTTGTCCATTTCTTTCTACCCCTCTAACGCTACAGCGGTTTTCATGCGTCGCAATTCTAAAGTTTCTGGAATATTCGAAATCTATTACGACTTAATTTATTCGAATTTGCTAATTAAAGAGGCTTTTACAATGACGTTTCCGGTATCGAAAGAGGTCTTCGTTTTATTACAAATATTTGTTTTACTGGTTTGAATGACCATTAGTTGAATAATGTTAATTATTATTCATTCGTTAATTATTCTGTTAATCTCTTTGTTTAGCGGTTTACGCAAGATGCAACCGGTGTTTTATAATCGTCGACAAATTGCGGATACATGCGTGTCGCATTTAGTTAATATTCGTTCCGCGCTTATTAGTTATTAACGTGCTTATTCGTATTTCGACGATTTACGTATATTCGAAACGTTCTACGTTTAACGTTTAACGACGATGTTTATTGTCTCGATCGACCTTTATCTCGAACATTCGTGAACAATTTCGAACTACAGCGGTTGTCACGCAAACCCTCGCATTCCAATATCATTCAAACAGTTTCATTTCGTTCAATTCCAATCACTTTCGTTCTTACTTGCATTCATTCTTTGGTGGAAGGACCGGCTGACACATGCTTTGCAGGTAGGAGAGGTATTTCGTTTGCGAGGTTAAACAAAAATCGTATTTCCCTTATTCCGCGCGGTTAAGCTGGGAAACTTCTAACGGCGTCGCACTGCTTAATCGCGTGGCGAAAGATGTTGATAGTACCTCTTCTTAACCTTAGCGATTTCGAATTTCTATGTGTTTATTGCTACGCGGTTTCGACAAGGCAATCGTCCCAAGGAAGGTTAACTTCTTATTGTTTGAAAAGAACTAATTATAGCCTCCTTTGTGTGCCTCGCCTGGGATTATCTCCAAGTACGACGAGGTACACAAATTCAGTATATTAAACGATTAAACTATTCAACATTATCAAAAAGAAGATGAAAATAAATGTTAGCCACGGTCGGATTATTGAAAATAATCCGGACGTAACACTAAGTACAGCAGAATGAATTCGCGTAAAATGAAAGCTCTTGCTTATATTACTTTGCATTATGCGTTGGAGAAACCTGAAAGAAATCCACCCCGTTGGTGGGTTTCTAACTTTCTTCGACGTAGAGAAAAATATAGTGCATCCGCGTTGTTGTTAGATTTAAAATTTCAAAGTGTCAGTGGGTTATACAGGAATTTCATGCGGATGCACCCAACAGACTTTGAATTGGACCAGAAATTATGCGGCAGGATACAAACTATAGAAAAGCCATTACGGCGCAGGAACGATTAGCTGTGACGCTCCGGTTTTTGGCAACGGGCGATTCGTTTACAAGTTTACAATACTTGTTCAAAATATCGAAGCAAAGTATTGGCAAAATTGTTCCGGAGGTGTGTGAAGCCATTACGAAGGCACTGAAATCGTATATTCAGGTAAGTGAACTATAATCCATTTTTCCGAACAGCACAAACGTGAAAATAGAAAACAAAAGTTGTGTCTTTTTACAGATTCCAAAAACTGGAACGGAATGGCTAAAAATCGCACAGCAATACAATGACACTTGGAATTTCCCCCACGGCATCGGCAGCATTGATGGGAAACATAACTATTCAATCGCCAAAACACAGCGGAAGTGACTATATTAATTATAAGGGATTTTTTAGTGTTGTCCTTCTGAGTGTTGTAGATGCTAATTATAATTTTTTATTTGTAGACGTTGGCTGCCAAGGAAGAATTTCAGACGGAGGTGTATTTAATAATTCTTCTCTATATCGGGCCATGGAGGAGAAGAAATTAAATATCCCAGCGGCTGTTCGGTTAGAAGGAAGGGAAACACCAATTCCTTTCTTTTTCTTAGGAGACGAAGCCTTCCCCATTTCTGAACACCTCCTGAAATGTTACTCGGGATATTTTACGAAAGGATCGCAGCAACGTATATTTAATTATCGAGTATGCCGGGCCCGGCAGGGTTGTTGGAAACGCCTTCGGCATATTGGCCGCAGTCTTCCGCGTATTAAGGAAACCGATGCTTTTATCGCTGGAAAAAGCTTCTCTTGTTGTTTCAACAACAACAATGTTGCACAATTTTTTACGGCAAAGGCCAGATTCTTCTCGACTTTATACTCCTCCTGAAACGATGGATTACGAAGAGGAAGGCATTTTGAGAGGAGGTAATTGGAGGGAACAGGGCAACGAAATGGGAGTGCTTTTGCTCTTGCGAGGAGTTCCGCGGAGAACAACTTCTGCGTTGTTACAAATAAGAGAGGAACTGGCCCATTATTTTTTGGCGGAAGGAAGAGTACCTTGGCAGGAAGACTGCGCATAGTTTTTATTTAAATATTATAATGTAATGTAACATGATAAATATATAACTCCCTGTTTTTTAGAATAGTAATTCGTAGTGTGTAAATAAATTGTAAATAATAAATTGTTTTACTGCGTTTGTAAATAAAACTTCATAATTTATTGATTTACCACCTCCACGAATTATATCGAAAATTCGATTTGACGTATTATCGATGTTTCACTATATTAAAATTTAATTTTCTAACATATTTATGTAATTGTCTTATTTGTGTAATTTATTTTCATCACTAAATACAACCTAACAAAAATTAATTGTGTTTACAAAGTATTCCTTTTGTACAAAGAAAAAGAAATGAAATAAACATTTTTACTAACATTTTCTCAATCTATGATCGTGTTTACTTTTACACACTGTCACCGACGAGATACTGTTAAAGACTGCCAACCCCTGTGTTAAAGTTCGGCACGCCAAGTGGGCCCAGTAGGCCTGGGGTACGATCGGTAAATAGGAATGGTGGATAATGTAGAATAGTGATATTACCCATTGTACCGCCGAAAAAAACTGTTATACCATCAACGAGATGATTTAGCTCTGCCACAGTACAATAATTATCTCGTCGGTGCTGCTTGGAAAACAATTATATTTTACCTTATAATTGGATTACATTCTTATTGTAATAATCGATACTACATAAATATATGAAAAATAAGAATATTTGGTACGTAACATTCTGAAAAAAATAAAAGAATTGAATAAAAAATAATTCGAAAATTACTGTTATATTTATAAAATAATGATTCTTAAACCAAAAATATCATTTAACTGTTAACAGAGACTCGTCTCTTAGCAGACTGTTAACAGGTGGGCATTTTTCACAGGTAGCGGAAGTAGGCATTTTTAACAGAGAATGACATACTAGTATTCCCTTATTCTGCCATGTGGTGAACAGAGTCGAACGTCCCAAACGTTTAAAAGCTTGCGTCCTAGCATATCCGCGCTGACACTGGCGCACTCAAGGGGGGCTAAGAGGTTCTAGCATCCCTCAAAGAAAAAGGAAGGAGAACAACAGAAAATTTTCCAAAATCTGTTCCAAATTAAAGTAGTATTACTGTTTATGTAACATATTAATAACACTGTTTTTTGTATTAAAAATATTTTTATTCGTTCAACTTAGCTCCCTCCAAGAATAAATCCTGAGTGTGTCATTGTCCGCACATACCCCATCATGGCCCATCATTGACTGTCCTTTCTTTTTCAAAGTTTTATGGCAAGACTTTATAACAGAAAACAGACCCCGAATATTCTGAAAGGTCGCAGACTGTGTCAAGCAATGGACAAATTTGTATATACTATTGTGGTAATTTTAGATATTTATTTTTTCGTGGAATACAAATCTAACACTGAAAATACCGCGACTTAGTTACTTTTACAACTTTTGCTATCAATCGCACCGTGTGTTGCTCGACTCACAATCAAACATGGAATAAAGTTAAAAATTACTACAGGGTGATCCTCTCGCTACGCTACCCAAAGGAAGTGCTGCCACAATAGAATGTAGAAGTCGACATCCCATTTCTGTCATCGCTTACTTGACCAAGGTGGCCCCTGCAGCGAACACGACTGTGTGCGTGAAAATGTGTGTAATGAGCAGAAAAGTCCCATTTAAGCACTGTGGAAAACAGAATATTTTCTTAACACATTTTCACGCACACAGTCGTCTTCGCTGCAGGGGCCACCTTGGTCAAGTTAGCGATGACAGAAATGGGATGTCGACTTCTACATTCTATTGTGGCGACACTTCCTTTGGGTAGTGTAGCGAGAGGATCACCCTGTATTAGTCACACCGATATTACGGTTCGGATCATATTACACGGCTTCCTGGTCGAGCGTCGCGGTTCGCCTAGGGGGGTCCCCCCAAGTGGAGAGGATAGCGATGTTGCACTTATCCAGCCAATCTTTTGTTGCACTTATCCAGCTTTTACTTACTATTGTAGCGCACTGCGTAAGGGAGGTAGTGTACCGAGCGGCCACCAGACTAGCGCCCCCACCACCTTACGTGCGTGCACCCCCGCTACTTTGACCACCCCAGTGCGCTTGCGCGAAACACCCCCCTACCCTACCACTCGCACTGGCCCAAGACCTCCCGCGAAGATAAAAAGGGCCACGGACCTATCGTTTTTATGGACAAGACGGGTCTCTGCTCCTAAGACGCTCCCTTGAGTGGACATCCCAAGGACAGAACCCTTGCCTGGCTCCGATCTTGCTCCCTTGAGTGGACAAACCCGGACCACGAGGCAAACCCTTGCTCCACGCGGTCCCGAGTACTTGGACACGGTCGAGTCTTTACCCGCGTACCCCATTTCTTAAGTAATAAGACGAGTTGTGACTTGTATTAATAGACAGCGAAATATATACTTTTTTAAAAACCATACACTAGTGGTATTCCCTGTTTCGTTCAGCCCGGACCCCGGTAGCCGTGAAGGCTACAAATTGGCGCCCAACGTGGGGTCCGAACGTGAATAAAATACCGCGAGTGACAAAAACGTAGTGCAGTGTGGAAGTGTGAAAACCTATTGCAGCCATTCCTCCAATCACGAGGAAACGCGCCGGCACCATGGCCATCACCACCGAACAGTTGGAAGCACTTATACGCAACTTAACTCCGCGGAACACGGAGAAACATTTTACGCACTGTCCAGCACGGTTCAACGGAACCAGGACAAGGGAAGCAGTGGACGATTTCCTTTCCAGTGCTGATTTCTTCAAATCGTCTGAAGGCATCACGGACGAGAATGCCGTTAAGGGTTTGGCACTGCTTCTACAAGAAACTGCCCATACGTGGTGGTCAGGAATTAAGGATTCGATCGCCACATGGGAAGATGCGAAGAAAGCCATCCGGAACGAGTTTTCACCAACCCTACCGGCGTATCAACTCTATCAGTTGGTGTTCGCTACCCGCCAGGACGCCTCGACACCAACAGGACTTTTCATTGCAGAGAAAAGAGCTCTGCTAGCCCAAGTGGTCCCGCCTGACACCGAGTCTAGACAAGTCGATTTCATTTACGGGCTTCTTCGACTCGACATCAGAGATCGGGTCCCCAGGAAGAAGGTTAGGGACTTCGCATCACTAATAGAAGCAGCTCGGGAGGTGGAAGCCACACTGAAGGAACGGAGTCGTGACACCCAGGCTGTAGCAAATCCTGAAAAGCCAAGGACAACCAAGGAAAAAACACGAGTAAAGTGCTCTTATTGTAGAAATCCTGGACACGACATCACAGTTTGCCGCAAGCGTGAAAGAGCTGAAACGGAAGAAAAAACAAAGGACGAGAAAAATGGGCTCAAATGCTACGGTTGTGGAAAACCAGGTGTCATTAGACGGAATTGTCCAACATGCACTTCGGCTCGGGAGGCGACCCCGTCTACAATCTCCTTTAACGCCTTTAATCTCGCACCCACGGACAGACCAGCCGTCGACATCACTATTGGCGGAGTCCTAGGTACGGCCTTTTTGGATTCAGGAGCCAAGACAAGCCTCGCTAGTCCCAAACTGTACGAACTCCTTAGGAAACCGCGTTTTTCGTTTACAAAGAAGGTTGCAAAGGTTATCCTTGCGGATGGGCGAGCAGAAAACAAGACCATCTATACAACGATAGTACCAGTAACTTTAAAGGGACGAACGTTCAAAACTCCGTTCGTCTACACCGAAAGCGGACCAGAGGCAGTCACTCTTCTAGGGGTCGATTTCGCCAAACTCGCGAGGCTGGTGGTGAATTACCACCATCACACCTACCATTTTTATGGATCACGGCACGAGGTGTATCATTTTATCTAAAAGGAAGCCCACGATTCTTTTCAAATTGGAAATTTTGTCTCGGAGGACTACAAAACGGGGAGAACTCACCCCCTAGTGTTAAAGGGATGTGAGATGGAATCGCAGAACCCGGAACAAGTAGCTATCACGATGGATGACAGCTCCACAAGCGACCTCGAGGACTTATTCAAAAGCGACGAGTGGTCGGATTTATTAAATAACTATGGCCCGATGATTAGCCCCATTGCGGCCACACCGGCAACGACGGCTCCTTCCGTCAGATGTGCTTCGCAACAATCACGTCACGCACCACAGAATCCAGGGATGCTGTCACCAACCAAATTTCAGTGGATGGACGCTGTTTATGCAATTAACGAAGCATACGAAGACGTGCCAATGGAGGTCGATCTGTTCCCGCGGATGGAGTTCGCGTCCCTCGATCTCCGAATAGAAGATGAAGGCAACGCTCTTTCGGCAGAGCAGCAACGCCAATTAAACTTACTACTCAGTCAGTTCAAGGATTGTTTCGAAGAACATGGTCCAGCAACCCCCTATGCCGAGTATCGGATTCAAACAGGGATGAATCCCCCGGTGGCTAGCCCGCCTTACCGGCTGTCACCACAAAAGTACGAAATCCTGAAGAGTGAGGTATAGCATCTGTTAAGTCTGGGAATCATCGAGGAATGCGAAAGTGCCTGGACATCGCCAGCAGTTTTCGTACCTAAACCTGGAGGACAGTTCAGACTCTGCATTGGTTATAGGAGACTCAATGCGATTACAACCCCTGTTGTATATCCACTACCTCGTTTGGACGATCTGCAACATTCTACAGGGGGAGGCGCTTTTATCTCCACCATGGATTTAAAGGCAGGATACTACCAAGTGAGAGTGGCACGCGAGGATCAAGATAAGACGGCGTTCATTACACCTTTCGGGGTTTTCCGCTTCAAGAGACTTCCGTTTGGACTTCGTAACGCCCCAGCCACGTTTCAGCGGCTGATAAACCAATTTAAATCTACCCTAGGTCACATCCTGATCCTTGCATATTTGGACGATATCATCGTCCTGTCACCCACGGCGGAGAGGCACCTACAAGATCTCCGGGACGTATTTGAACGCCTCCGGCAGTACAAATTACGCATGAATCGCGCAAAGTGCCGGTTCGCATGTAAGTCCGTGAAATATCTTGGACATATTGTATCCCCTCAAGGAATCCAGACTGACCCCGATAAAGTTCGGGCCATCCAGGATATGGTGTCCCCGAGAAACGTAAAACATGTGCAATCGTTTCTCCAGACCTGCAGCTGGTATCGGAAATTTATTCCAGGTTTTGCTGATATAGCCAAACCACTGTGTGAACTGACGAAGAAGAACGCGGTGTTCACGTGGGGAAAATCGCAGGAGGAAGCTTATAACAAGCGGAAGGCAGCCCTGGTTACCACCCCTATACTTGCTCAAGCTGACCATTCTGCCAACTACACGCTTCGCACAGACGCAAGCAGCTATGCCATCGGAGCAGCCCTTCTCCAGGGGGAGGAACCCAACGAACACCCCATCGAATACGCCAGCGGCTTGCTAACTTCAGCTGAACGGAACTACTCAACTACAGAGCGTGAGGCTCTTGCTATTGTTTGGGCCGTTCAGAAGTTCAGGCCATATTTAGAAGACGCCCCAACAATAATCGTTACGGATCACCAACCGCTACGTTGGCTGATGTCCCTCAAATCACCAAGTGGGCGACTTGCTAGGTGGGCTCTGCAACTCCAACCGTTTAACGTTACCATCAAGTATGCTCCAGGGAAATCTAACATCGTGGCCGATACACTGTCACGACCTCCTTGCTCGGACAACACCATTCTGACATGCCCTGTCTGCAACATTTCTGTGGACCTTCCAAGACGCAGCGCTGCGGATATATGGAACGGGCAACTACAGGATCCAGAGGTACAGAAAATCATGGAAGCTCTAGAAACAGGGAAACCCGAAGAAACAACCCCTTGGACGACGAGAGGATATGTGCTCAACCAAGGCGTATTATTTCGGTATACCCAGGACGATGATACCGAGGAAGCTCAACGGGTTATTCCAGCTCAAGAAAGGGCAAAAATTCTGAAGGAGTACCATGACTCTCCCACAGCTGGTCACTATGGAGTGGAGCACACCCTCCAGAAGATACGTCGAAATCACTACTGGCCCGGCATGCGAACTTCCATAGCCCAGTACGTGAAAGCTTGTCCTTCGTGCCAACGATACAAGCCTACGAACTTGAAACCCGCGGGACTGCTGCAAACGCCTGTCCTTCGGCAACGATTCGAGGTAATCGCGCTCGATCTGTTCGGACCTTTACCTCCCGGTCCCCAAAACGAGAAATGGGTTCTCATCATTGAAGATTATGCAACCCGTTGGACCGAGTTGTTCGCGCTAGAGACTGCCACAGCCGAAAACTGCGCTTTGACGTTGGTAAACGAGGTCTTCCTGAGGTTTGGCATTCCCCGACGCCTGATAAGTGATAACGGAACCCAATTCATCAGTAGCGTGATGCAGCAGATCACTTTTTGCCTCAATATAGATCACAAATTTACTCCTGTTTACCATCCGAGTGTGAACCCGGTTGAAAGAAGAAATAGGGACTTGAAAACGCAACTCGCCATCATCTTGGGAAACGATCACGGACAGTGGCCGTCTAAGCTCTCGGCTGTACGCTTCGCCATCAACACGACTCTGTGCCAGGGAACGGGATACTCTCCCGCATACTTAACCTTCGCTCGGGAGTTGCGATCACCAACGGAAAACACTAATGACTTGCGGCAGATAATAAACAACGAGAATTTCATACCAGAAGTTACACCACGCCTGCTGCAGATTACAGATATCATGGACCAAGTACGTTAAACACACGAACATGAGCAGGATCAACGAAAGCAGTACGCAGATATAAAAAAACGACCAGCTCCGACATTTCACCCTGGAGACAAGGTATGGGTTACCAGTCACACCCTTAGCCAAGCTGCCAAGGGAAGAACCAGCAAATTCGCACCAAAGCGAGACGGCCCATACGTAATTCTCGCAGCTCGAGGACCTTGCAGCTATGAGGTCGCCAACCCGGCGGACCCCACAACGGCACTAGGAACCTACCACACGTCTGCGCTCACCGCCTTCCAGGAGTCTCCTGCCCAGAAGGAAACTACGCCGGTCCAACCCATCAGAAAACGGGGACGACTTCGTAAAACAACGACCTAAAATCTTTGTTACTCTCTCCAAAACCTTGCGCCGTTCCGACGCATGATTTTGAGGGGGAGATTGTAGCGCACTGCGTAAGGGAGGTAGTGTACCGAGCGGCCACCAGACTAGCGCCCTCACCACCTTACGTGCGTGCACCCCCGCTACTTTGACCACCCCAGTGCGCTTGCGCGAAAGACCCTCCTACCCTACCACTCGCACTGGCCCAAGACCTCCCGCGAAGATAAAAAGGGCCACGGACCTATCGTTTTTATGGACAAGACGGGTCTCTGCTCCTAAGACGCTCCCTTGAGTGGACATCCCAAGGACAGAAGCCTTGCCTGGCTCCGATCTTGCTCCCTTGAGTGGACAAACCCGGACCACGAGGCAAACCCTTGCTCCACGCGGTCCCGAGTACTTGGACACGGTCGAGTCTTTACCCGCGTACCCCTTTTCTTAAGTAATAAGACGAGTTGTGACTTGTATTAATAGACAGCGAAATATATACTTTTTTAAAAACCATACACTAGTGGTATTCCCTGTTTCGTTCAGCCCGGACCCCGGTAGCCGTGAAGGCTACACTATTAAATAAAAGATTTTATTGAAATACATTTCTCTTCTTTTCGATACCTGTTACTTATTATATTATTATGATTATTATGATTATTACATTATTATTATTATTATTAATTATATCCTATAGAACCTATGTAATATTTTTTATTCATTTTTATTTCTAAATGATTTCTAAATGAAATTAGAAGAAAATAATTTTTTTTCTAATTTTTTTTTTATTCATTATTATTTCTACATGAATATTCTTTTACCTTAAACACACATACCCTAAACTTGGAACTAGAGTTCGTCATTTATTAAAAAAATAATTTCCAATGAACTAAAGAGGGTTATTAAGTTACCTCCTTTAAAATATTTTATGTCTTAAAAAGTATCTCCGAAAAGTTTATAAAACGAACTTAACTCGAATCACCGAAGAAATAATAATAGCATCGATCAGATAAAATATCATCTCATGTCTCATGATACAGTTCAGCACCGAACCTCGTCGTTGGTAAACTCACTGATTCTGGTTCTGTTTCTTACTGCGATCGCAATATATTATACAGGGCGTAAGAAAACGTCTAATTATTTCGCCGCCGCGAACTCCCATAAGGATGACAGTCTTTAACAGTATCTCGTTGGTGGCACTGTATATCGGCCATCGAGGTTTAGGCTAAAATTGTAAAGTTTAAATTTTGATTTAAATTTTGAAAAAAATGTATTGATATTCTCTGAAGTTTCCCCTTCAGAAAGATGATGAATTGAAAATTGGCGTTACAATAAGCTGGAAAAGGACGCTCCGCTATTATGGTCGGTTGTCTATACCAACAGACCTCGTATACGACTAAATGACACTGTGGCACCCTCGTCGGAGACGCCACAATCAGGGGTCGGAAACTCCCCTCTACAAGAAGTCTAACATTGACTGTAGCGCCATCTACTAACCATCCGTCACGAGTGTACTAAAAGTAGACATATATATATATAAGTATACTATATATGTCTCTGATATATATAGTACTTCTCAGACTGATATATATATGTATATATATAGAATACTAAATTCTGGATAGTCATAAAGTGACTGCTAAAAATCAGAGATTTATGATTTAGCCGATTTCTTATCTTTAAATCATAAATCTGTGATTTAAAGCAGCCACCTGCAGGGATAATTATTAATTATTTGGACTCCACCAAAACGGACGCTATGACGCTATGACGCCAAACCACGCCAAATAACGCCAATCAACGCCAATGTAGGCGGCGCTGATTGTCGTCGTAGTAGCGCTATCTACGTACTGTCCGTCATCAGGGAACTAAAACTGAAAAGCCAACAAAATCACTGAGAGTTTCCAACCCCTGGCCACAATCCATGGAGCCTGCTCTGCCGTCCGGCAGGCGGCAGCACCATGTACGAAAGTGTAGGGACCTACTTGTAGCGCACAGGCGCACGATCAGTATTACCAACCTAAAAAGAGACAAAAAAACTTGTGTAAAAAAGGCGTATCAGAACAAGTCTGTGCGTCGCGATAAAAGTAATAATTTGGATAAAAGAATAAACGGTGTGTTACAAAAAGAGTTTTGATATCTTACGGAACTACGTGAACCTTTTCCCGACTCCGTTCGACCAGGTAATAAAAACCATATGCGTAGACGTACGCTACAAAAGCAGGCACTTGTACAGTAATCTCTCTCACATTGCCCGTTAGGTAGGAATCGAAAGTGGGCAACTTGGGAAGACTAGAATCGTTTTTCCAGCCTCGCAGCTCGCCTTTGTAGTTTGCCGAACAAAGAAAAGGACAGCGAATAAAAGAGAAAGACAGAATTAGAGTCGGGCAAATGAAAGATTTAAAAATCAGTACTACATATAAACTTTTTTATTTTTAACTTTTTTAATATGCAATTACTTTTATCATATTGGAGAGATTTTTGCGATTAAAATGAAACCAAACACAATATAATTTGGATCACCTTTACTTATTAATACCTATTAGGTAATTCATTTCATCATCGCTTTAAATGAATTACAAAAGCGGATTTCTAGAAAAAATACACAAAATATTTGTACACATTATCTGTTGAATACGTAACTTGTGTCTGGATAATGTGGAAAAAGCTTACATTCGAGGGACAATGCGGTGGTACAGCCTACGTTGTAGGGACAATGCGGTGGTACAGCCTACGTTTCAGGGGCAATGTGATGGTACAGCCTACGTTTTAGGGACAATGTGGTGATAACATAGGCGCAGAAGTGACGTATACATAAGCGTAGAAACAGCGTAGGGACAATGTGAGGCGTCCGTCAGTATGGGCAATGTGAGAGACATTACTGTACCGCGTGCGACTTTCTAGCGCTTTCACGTAGGCACCGGTACACACCCCCTACGAACGCGCGCTTTTCCGCTTTCTCCGATTTTTTCCTCACTCATGTGTCTACGCTACCTCGCGACTAGTCGATGTGCCTACCATCGCTACGCCGAGCTCTTCGTATATTCTTTTCATCATCGTTTATTTTTAGTTCATACATTTTTCATAATAAAGTTTTGTGTTCACGTATAATAATCATTTCTGTTTCGTTTTTGTGCTTCAACCCTTCTCCACGCATATTCAGCACCCACGTATATAACACCGCAAGACTCTCTCGCGAGCCGCGTGTTTGCCGCTGGGGTACTTGAGACTCAAATCCCGAACAACACCATTTCTACCTCGAGAACTATATTAGTAACCACTCTTGACCAACGACACTTTTTCACTTAACTTACATTTAACCCCGAAGTGATGCGGAAGTGAATGGGCAGAAATATCTTTTTCAAATATTACATTTAATTATGTAACTGAAAATGAATACAATAACCATGCTGATTGTCTACAACCTCGCTTTGCAACCCCATCGAAAATTTGTGGAAATATTTATTAATAGTAATAAATGCCAATGTGGCTCCAATAATTTGATCACCTACTGTATGTTTTCATTTTCCGTATTGAGTGTAAATAAAGTGTTAGGTCACAGAGAGAGGGAAGAGAAAGGAATGAATGCTATTTAATATTATATATATATTTTATATATTATCTATACATGTAGCTTCAATTTCTACAAATAATTGCATTATCCGTGCTTCAATATGGACTGTTTCAGAATTGTTGTGCTTTCTCAGTTTCGATGCAACAAAATTTGCAAAATGTTGGGATTCGTCAGGTGGTGGATCTGACGCAGTCTCCAGAATCTCAAATGCCCTCTCCAAACAATCCTCTTTCTCGGTATGCCGCCTTTTCGCGGCAACCGTTCTTGTTGGACGCAATGGGGTGCTCGTACTGAGGCCAGGTTCTACCTCAAGCATCTCTGAATTTTGTCCCATGTATGATTGCTCTGCCACTTCATCTTCTACCGCCTCTGGACTTACAATTTGTACTTCATCTTCCATCTGAAAACAAGTATTGTTTCTAATTTGTTGCTAATAAAGTATGCTTAGTATGCTTTTATGAATTGTGGAAAAAATAAAAAAACAATTGAAGGTTTGCGTACCGTACTTAATGTCATTCTAGATTTATTTTTATCCCATAGGAATTGCATACTTTCGAATGCAAACCATTGGCTTTTATATACTTCTTGTGTTCCTACAAAATAACGATAGAAAGTTAAATTGAGCCGCACTGTTTTCTGATATGTAATACTGTATAAAGTACCAAATATTTCTAACTTTCAATTCATGAATGTATGATAAAAAGTACTTACCCTTTCCGGTGCCAACACTTCTTTTCATTTTCAACTTTTCCCTCCTCAAACCTGCGAGGTATTCTTTTTTTTTTTACATACTGTTTTTGGTTTTTTTATTTCTGCGCTTAATTCCTCCCACGCATCTTCTTTTTTTAATTTATTAAAATAATCGTAGTTTTTGGGGTTCCACAACACACTCTTGAATCGATACACTTCAATCAAGGTGAGAATTTCTGCCTTACTAAAATCCATGGTGATTGCAGTCTAAACGACAACTAATCTTGTTCCGTATTGATGAGAAATATATAACTTCCTAATCGTGGTGGGGGTTTCGGTGTAGAAACTTCCACTTCCTGTATTGGTTGAAATTCGTCGTCGGGGGTCAATTTGTAATTTTTCTGATTGGTTGCGTTTTACAAACGCGAAGGTACCTCCTAGTCCGCGTGGAGGTACCGAACTTGCATGGTACACAGGTAGTACCAGTCCGATGAAAGCAACAAGGGTAATAAACGGTGACTTCTTCGAGTAATAAACGGATTAAGTAAACTCGAAACCCTGTCATAATAACATATTTTTTCCCTATTTTATGTTCCTAAGTTATAAACCGATTCCTAAAATTCCTCCTTTAACTTTCAGATGTAATAAAAATCATTTCCAATTTTCAAAACAGCAGGGGTTCCATTGTGCGGCATGGCTTTTGTCTTGCGTAGCAAGAGAATCACACTGTAGGAAATACTATTATAAATAAGAATTGTCCAAACCATATCGTATTTGGTATCATTTTAATCAGAAAAACGTCACAAATATCTTGGTAACAGTTTTATAAGAAAAAAATGAAAAATAACAAAGTTCAGTCGTTGCATTAGTATTATCTCACTGATATATCCAATTCCAGATCATATTATATTATCTCGTGCCCCAAGTGTCATGTTTACACTTAACATAGCATTTCGGGCCTTCGCCTGGGTATGTTGTTTTTACGTTTCAAGTGGGCTCCGAACCTATCCTTTGAACGGCAAAAAACCGACAATTTTCGGATCGGCCCGTTCCTTCACCTCCGTATCACAGCCCAATAGAACTTTCGATACTCGGCAACGGAAAAATCTCTGCAAAATTAACATTGTCCTTTTTCAATAATGACACAGGTGATTATTAACATTGCTGTTTTATGTGCAGCGTATCACCGAAGATAATTGATCTGTTTCAATATATTTAGACGATAAAATTTGTCTAAATTAAATTAGATTAAGTTCATAAATAATTTCATCGATTTTGAAATGAATTCAATAATACCGTAAGATTTCAAATAAATTGAAACCCAACTGACGGCACGAAACGCTATGTCAAGTGCAAACGCATAAACCTTTCCTTCGATGGAACGGCAAAGAATCGACAAATTTTTCGGATGGGTCCGTTGTCTCCGTTCCTTTGGAACGGTACGCAGCAAAACGAAACTCCTCGCCTGTAGTGGCCCAGTCCTATTGCCTAACCGTTTCTACCAAGAAACGAAGAAATGTTGTCCGAGCCGCACCACGCCGTTGCATGCAACGAGACAACGTCTGCCTATTCAAAAGGGTTCGGAATGGTGATACGATACGGGCGTTTGATACCGGTGGATACCCGGCTTAAGGTGTCGGACAGCGGAACGGCTGAGAACTTTTTTGTCGTAGATTCGCGTCCCACGAAGGTCCAATTTTTTTTGGTAATTGTTGAGATTAGGTTACACCTCACCGATTTTGATGAAATTTAAATATGTTGTAAAATTAGACATTTTGAACAACTTTTTCTTATACATATAACCGCCGTTCGGCTTTAGTTTTCGAGATATTTTCGAAAAACTGTTGAAACTAACACATTGAATTCTGGCCATCCGTGTGTGTCCGTGACAACGTACGCATTAGTATGGGATCGCCGCTTTTCTACTGTTTTTGCAGGCAGCAGCACGGTGACCGACATCAATATATATATACATATATTACGGGTGGGCTTAAAAATTACATTTAACTAATTTTCATGATTTTGAATCTCAGTATGTGTGTTTATCACTTTATCCTAACCTAACTTAATTCACTGATTAGATAGAGTAGATAGGGTTAGGTTAGGCTATATTAAATTCCCAGCTGCCATCATGGCTACGATACATTGAAATCATCAATGCAGAAGTACACAGGGTATATTGGTCATCGGTCGCCGTGCTATTGCCTGCAGAAACAGTAGAAAAGCGGCGATCCCATACTAATGCGTAAGTTGTCACGGACGCATATGGATAGCCAGAATTCAATGTGTTAGCTTCGACAGTTTTTCGAAAATATCTCGAATACTAAGGCCGAGCGGCGGTTATATGTATAGGAAAAAGTTGTTCAAAATGTTGAGTTTTACAATATATTTAAATTTCATTAAAATCGTTGAGGTGTAACCTTATCTCAATAATTACCTTTTTTTTCATGAAATCATTTCTTTTTATTATAAATTACATAAGAATAAATAATAATCATTTAATAATGTACAAAAATTATTTTTAAAATATTTTATCATTATGTATACATACTTAAAAATAATTTTGGAGCACTACTGCTTCTTTGGGTATGTATTGTTCTAATTACGTATAGCTTCCAATAGTTGAAAAGTTACGTGGTGTTAGTTTATGATTGACATGGAAAGAAATACATATTTTACCTTAATTGAACATGATTTTGTAAGTAATGATGCGTTACGGTAAAGATGATGTCTGATGTCCTGAATCCACTATTTGGTTTCGTCATTTTTGCATGAATGTGTCTTATTAGACATATAATGGTATAACTCTTTTTGTTCACGTGATATGCATATAAAAGTTTATTATGAAAATAATTATCCGTACCATATCGCGTAGAACAGTTTCGTTTCATGTTAGGAGCGAATGATGGTGTTATTCCAACACTTTGTCAATTTTCAATAGTACTGTTACGTCCGGATTATTTTCAACAAACCGACGGTGGCTAACATCCATCTTCATTTTCTTTCTGATAGTGTTGAACAGCTTAACCGTTTAATATACTGAATTTGTGTACCTCGTCGGTGCGCAGCACTTGGAGATAATCCCAGGCGAGGCACACAAAGAAGGCTATAATTAGTTCTTTTCAAATAATAAGAAGTTAACCTTCCTTGGGACGATTGCCTTGTCGAAACCGCGTAGCAATAAACACATAGAAATTCGAAATCGCTAAGGTTAAGGAGAGGTAATACAGTAAAACCTGGATAAATTCAACGAAAGAATGCTTGGATAAATGAAACATCGCTATCCCCTCCACTTGGGGGGATCCCCCTAGGCGAACCGAGCCGCTCGACGAGGAAACCGTGTAATATGATCCGACCGTAATATCCGTGTGACTAATACTAATTCAACGATAAAACTTTTTTATTTTTAACTTTTTCTCAATGAAACTGTTACTAATGCATTTGTGAAATTTTTCTGATTAAAATGATACCAAACTCGATATAGGTTGAATTATATTTATAAACAATAGTAATAGAATAAACTACATAGAATTGAGACCACGACTGAATATAAATGATGTCGGCTGAATACAAAAGATGTGTACGGACACAGAATCGGCATGTCGGCTGCAAAGAAAACATGTGTACGGACTTAGAACCGACACCTCGCTTGGATAAATGAAACATTAAATGCCCAGAATCGACTCCTTGCTTGAATAAATGAAACATTAAATGCCCGGAATCGACTCCTCGCTTGAATAAATGAAACATTAAATGCCCAGAATCGACTCCTCGCTAGGATAAATGAAACCTTTGAAACCAAAGCCGACACCGCGACTGGTTTGGATTTCGATCTCTCTTGCTTTTCGCCAACTTATAACATCAATTTTAGCAAGTAATTGTAATTGAAACTATATCGTGTTTGGTACCACTTTACTCACAAAAATCTCACCAATGCGCTAGTAAAAGTTTCACTCAAAAAAAGTCAAAAATAAAAAAGTTTTTTGATTCAATTAGTATTAGTCACACCGATACGTTTCGGCTCTTTCCTTTGATTTCGGACCTCTCTCTTTCCACCACTGTCTGTCCCTTTCTACGCTCACGCTTGGCTGGTCGTTGCGTGTCATCCGAGCTTCGATACCGTACTTAGGTAAACGCAACCACTGGGTCCCAATCTTGGTTGAATTTATCCAGGTTTTACTGTATCAACATCTTTCGCCACGCGGTTAAGCAGTGCGACGCACTTGGAAGTTTCCCAGCTTAACCGCGCGAAATAAGGGAAATACGATTTTTGTTTTACCTCGCAAACGAGGTACCTCTCATACCTGCAAAACATGCGTCAGCCGACCCTTCCACAAGGAATGAATGTAATTAAGAACAAAGCGATTGGTATGCTACGGAATGAAACTGTTTGAATGATATTGGAATGCGAGGGTTTGCGTGACAACCGCTGTAGTTCGAAATTGTTCACGAATGTTCGAGACAAAGGTCGATCGAGACAATAAACATCGTCGTTAAACGTTAAACGTAGAACGTTTCGAATATATCGTCGAAATACGAATAAGAGTGTTAATAACTAACAAGCGCGGAATGAATATTAACTAAATGCAACACGCATGTATCCGCAATTTCACGACGATTATAAAACACTGGTTGCATCTTGCGCAAACCGCTAAAAAGAGATTAACAGAATAATTCACAAATGAATAATAATTAACATTATTCAATTAATAGTCATTCAAAACAGTAAATCAAATATCTGTAATAAAACGAAGACCTCTTTCGATACCGGAAACGTCGTTGTAAAAGCCTCTTTGATTAGCAAATTCGAATAAATTAAGTCGTAATAGATTTCGAATATTCCAGAAACTTTAGAATTGCGACGCATGAAATCCGCGTAGCGTTAGAGGGGTAGAAAGAAATGGACAACCTTAGACGAAGGTAGAAGGAAAAGTCAAGAAGGGATGAGAGAACTAGGAAGAGCGGCCAACTAGCCCAATACGCACGGGATTTCCCCTCCGACACGTACCCTGATTTGCCAAATGATGTCCCCACTTTGGGCCCATGATCGCGGGTCGAACCCT